GAAAGAGTTAGCGATACTTCTACTTAACTACAACGAAGAACCGCTTGTACGCTTGTTCAAACTTCCCTTACCATGGCGAAGACTAACGGAGAAATATAAGCGAGAAAATCTCTGGTTAGAACTCTACTATCATGGATTAACATGGAACTCTAGCGATTATAAATACGAAGAGCATAAATTCATCATCACAGATACACTCAAAGATGCCACAAAAATTTTCGTTTCCGGAGATTTGAAAAAAAAATGGTTAGAACGATATGTCCTAAAAGTTTTCGATTTGAATGATTGGGACTATTCGCCTTTCGAAAAATTAAAATCAGCTACCGTATGCCCTAATCATAACGGCAAATACGTAACGACATGTGCACATCAAAACGTTAAATTAATGAAAAAGTTTTATATCGATGGCTGTTGTATGGATTGGGAAGAGAGCGATGAAGTCGTTGAAGGATTTCTATAGTGATTTTATTTCTAAGTAAATACTTTGTAGAATAATATGTATTTTTTAAGAACATGTAGAATAAGATATATTTTTTATCAATAAAAAAAAAATTTTTGTTTCAATTGATACAAAAAAATATTCTTTTATTTTTTTATTAAACCATCCAAAAAAGTGAAATTCTTCGCTGACTCTGACGATGACAGCAGCAGCAGCAGTTCATCTTTTTATAATAAATTTTGTATTTTTTTATCAACAAAAAAAATTTATACAACATAGAATTTAGATGAAAAAAAATGTTTATTTATTAGTTGAGGTGGTGTACAATGATGACATGTATAAATATGATTATTATTTCTTCGTTTCGTTATTGAACTGCTGATAGCCTTTTTCTTCAGGAAAATTTTTAGTATTGACCGAAAATTTGGAAATACTTTGTTTCCATGTCGATGATTCTTTGTTCTTCTTTTCGTCCGGGTCTTCCTGTGGAAGACGAGAGTACTTTACTTTAGAGTAGCGATCCATTTTATTGGAATGCTGGTTGATGAAAGATTCGATAATTCTTACACTGTGCTATTTATAGTGGCTTACAACCACGAAGTCTACAAATAAAAGAAAGTAAGCAGGTACTTGCACGTTTTTTCTATTAAACCATCTTCGGTAGATGAGACACGAATGCACGCACACACACGCGCGCCGGCGCGCACACACTGAACATCAAAAAAATTATTATTATTCGTTATATACCAATTATAATAAATATCTATGTATAATATTTATTATAATTAGTATATTTATTAAAATTTATTGTATTAGTGCTTGGGCCCTCCCCAGCAGCAGCAGCCGCCGGCGCCGCCGCCGCTGCCGCCCCCCCCCCCCCCAAATATCAATCGTGTAGCTAGTATACACAATACGAGAGAGGGGGAAGAACGCAGGCCACATAAATAAATAAATTATTTTTCCTGGCTATCGAAGGTGAAACTCTGAGTCGAATTACATTCTATTTGAAATATTAACGTGTGATTTCTTTTCATTGTCCAAAGTCACAATTGTGTTTGACATTAAAAGTAATTTTTGAAATCAATCCAAGGTCAACATTGTTTGTTAATTGTGATGTCGCTAATCACTGATTATTTATATTTAGTTCGTACTCTCGTGGTCTCTCGCGTTATTGAGTAAGAATTCGTTATAAATTAAATAAAGTAAATATATCTAAAATTATTTATGTTGTATAATTTTGATTTTAAAAGTGAAAATTAAATTTATATAATAAAAATATATAATTATTTAGGATGGAATTAAGGAAGGACAGGCTTTGCCCTAGTTTCTCATGATGCGAAGTGTCCCATGAGCAGAGCATAAGTCTCTCTTGGAAAAAAGGATGTGATTTAGCCCAAGTTTCTCATAGCGTGAAATGTTCTACGAGTCGAACATAAATCACAATAGGAGAAGTAAGGCTTGCTTAGGTAATCACAAGAGATAAATAACTCAAGTATAAGCCAAGTTTATTAAATCTCTAGTGTTCACTTTGCAAGGCTAGGAGAGAATACTTCCCACCTGTGCAAAATTGAGCCTATTTATATACAGATTTTAGAGCCCCATTTACGCTGGATAACCCTTTTCATGCTGTTTCCGCAAATGTGCGTTTTCTCTTGTTCACAATAAAACCGACCGCGTTAAAGAAAATTTAAATAGTGTAAAAAATACAAAATCTAATATAGATAATTTAGGCATATTTCGCAATTATCGCAAAAATTGTAATTAAAAGTTATTAACTAACAAAGTTAGTTAATTTGTTACTTTGTTAGTTAATTTACACTTTGTTAGCTAATTCAATAGTGTAAATTTTACAATAAAATAATAAAAATTTTACATAGAAAAATAACTTATCGCTTATAGACCATTTAAGAAATCCTTAAATGGTTTAATAATATTTGAATAATAATTAATTTACGTTTTTGGCCAAATCTTATAACGTAAATATAAAATCGGCTTATTAAAAATTATCAATTCTAAAAATTTTGTCAGTAAGTACAGAATTAATGCTTTCGATGAATATACTTTTTATTTTTTATTTTTTTGAAGGAAATGTTAATGGGGAACGCTTTTTACAATTTTTACAAAATTAACTTGTTAAATTAGTAGAAAAATATGATCTTGCTACAAGATTGAGAATATGCATGCAGTTATATGGAGCTCTTACATATTTCCACAAGAATGTCAGAGTTTACCTGAACAACAGATTCAATGGTAGGTGGATTGATCGTAGTGGACCATTTGCATAACCACCACGATACCCAACTTGTTTTCTGACTTTTACTTATGAAGATATTAAAAAAATGTCATTTATGAACAACCACTGATGAATCGAGAAAACATGATGAATAGGATCAGAATAATTTGTCAAAATAGATATTTTACTGTGGATAGTGGAACATTTTCATTATTGTTCGAATTATTATTCGAATACTAAATTTAGAATAATTTTGTAATATTTGTGATGAATCAATAAATCGAAAAAATAATTAAAATTCTTATAATTTATTGTTTACTTTATGATATCTATATAGTCAAGGGAGTATACTGACCCCATACACGATATTCTACTTTAACGTAAAATTTCTCTCTTTTTCCGAATCTGATATGAAAATTAAGGATTTTAACATATTTAAAAAACAATGCAGATTTTAGATTGATTTCAAAATTCACTTTCAAGCTTAAACTCATCCCAACGTCATAAAAATACGTCCCTCACAAAGTTTAGCTACTTTTGTCTCTGAAATATTTTTCGCTAAACTTCATTATTTTCAGATCATTTGGATCAAATATACATAATGAAATTAACCTCTACGCAATCGTGAAAGTTAATCAAATACCACTAATAATACGTCGTTTGAATGTAAAATTTTCCGCTTTTTCCGAATCCGGGGTCAAAAATACGTATTTCTGTTTAAAAAAACCAATATGACCTTCAATTGACTTAGAAAATGAATTTTAAGGTGTTTTTGCAGTTCACACACGTGAGAGCAAGATGGAAAAAGAGGTAAAGTAACGCGAAACTTTGGAAGGGGAACTAATCGATTTATTGAGTTAAACGGTTAAAATTGGACGGTACAATCAATTACACTGAGAGAATTATGCATTCGGAGAAGTACGTATTACAACATTTGGAACTGTTCTGTTCTGTTGGTATTCGTTGGCTCTGGTGTCGACTCACAGTATAGCGAGTCTGTGTCCCATACGGCCATCAACTGACTTGATGCGTTTGCGCGCATGATTCAAATTGGCATTTTATTTGGGTAGAACAAAGCGAAAGAAAAGAAAAGGCAAGTAAGTAAGTAAATAAATAAGTAAGTATTAAATATGTTGAGGAATGGTGAGAATAGATGAATTGATCATAGTAGAAGTAAATGTTATTAAATAGAACTGGACTGACTGCTTTGTTGATGGTGGCGTGGTCCGAAAGGTGGGGGCACTGTGGATCATCCCTACCACCGGGCCTGAGCTGTTAGCTGGCGCTAGAGGCAAGGAGAGCCGGAGAGGTGCACGAGAGGGAGCTTCGGAGACAGAACGATTTGTCCAAACAATATCAAATAATAGTTATAATAAATATAGCAGCGCAATAACAATAAAAAAAATTAGACTAGATCGTTACAAAAACATAACATGTTATAATTTTTTTCTTTTTCCATACTTTGCGATAAGGTCAACTAAAATAAATTCTGCCACAGTTACAACCGACATTAATTTACCTGATGTTTTGACTGTGTTAGAAATTCTGGAGGATTTGATTCACTAATATTCTCAAGCTCAGTTAGAGATTATTAATAATCAAAATTAATTTTTATAATCTGCCGCATTTGGCAACAGACTTTTAGTTTAAACTATTAAGTCACTAGACTAAAACCGAATCCAAAATATATCTAATTTTGAAATATATTTCACCACGTTTGCGTTCATTTCAGACATTACAGAATATAAAATATAAAAAATGAGATTGTAAATATTTTGTTATGAATAAGTAATTAAAAATGCTGAGCTCTGATAAAACTTGATTATATAAAGTTGTTTAAAATAAATAAAAAAATATGAATTTTTTATATCATAGAAACTGAAAAAGTTGTGCTACAATAAAAATATATTTTGACAAATATATATATCTGCTTATAGTTGAATATGGCTACGGAATGAAAAAATTTTCAATCATCGTATGCTAACCATGCACGACTATTCTTGAAAAGGATATATTTGTATCAAAACGTAATATGATCCTTAACACTCACTTCGATCACTGTCATCATTATATTATCCCGTGCTGTAAACAAGTTCTCTTTAAAAATAACAGGGCTTTTCTCGCTCAAGATACATAAAAAGCTAATTGCAAAGGCTTCAGTTTCGTAACTTTTCGACCATGGCGCTGTCCGAACTATCGCAAAATTAAAAAATGATATTTCTCCCTCTCAAGCGTCAGGTAAACGTTTGGTTGATTTCTTGCTAACAGTGTTTATTTAAATTACTTACTATTACGATTGTATTTCATTTTTTCATAGTTTATTAAATTTCTTCTTTTATTGAGTACAGTCGCGCAGAGTAATTCATAGTTATTTCTTTATTAGTATCAATATAGTCTTCATGGTTCATATTAACTAACGAGTGTATTTATGAGTGATTTTTTCTCGCCATAACTTCTATATACTCTGGTAATTATCTTCCAATATTTCTTGACTTTCCACAATTGTTCCTATTTCATTTTTCACTTCCTTCATAAGCCATTGCATGAAGTCTTCTTTGACATCTGTAGATTTAATGTGACTATGAAAAACATTTGTTAATTTGTTATAAAAGCTAATTGGCTACTGTTGTTTGAATTTAAATTTTCCTGATGTTCTATTGGGAATAAATAAAAATTGATATTAATAACGACTATCAGTTAAGTTGTAAACTATAAGCCAAGACTAGAAGGTACCGTACGAATACAACGGCATTTTAAGTAGAGCAAGTCAATATGCGTTATTTTATTCAAGAATAAAAAAATTCATATTCAAATGTATAAAAATTTGGAACATCAAACAATAAAGTTCAACAGATATGCACTTCCATCTTTGATATTAATAAACTAGGAAATGTGTAAAATTTGTTAATTTCTCTTGATCTGTTGATATACTCATCGCTGCTTAAAAGCTTTAGATTTAATGGTATATAACTCATTTTTATACACTTATTTGACACAATTGATATAATGTACTATAGCCTAACTCGCATATCAAATCTGTTTTTTGAAGGATATATATCTTTATACAGGAACATGATCATTTTTATAAACACAAATATTTTTTAATTTACAGCAGTAATGATTAATTTTTTATATACGAAGCAAATGGCTGATCTCTGCTCAGTCTATGAGTTTTAAATGTATATTTGTAAGATATTTATCGATTGAACATGCCTAACGAGATATAGGGATCAGTGATAAATTAACGAAAGATAGTAAAACTGATTAATAATTCAATAATTTGATTATCATTAATGATAACATATCAAAAATTGATAATCTCTATCTATTGAATATGTTATCTATCTTACGTTTGAATGTTATTTTTACAGAAATAAACGTGTGTAATCACTAGCAAAAATCACGCGCAATGTTTCTGCGCTATCACTTTCGTGATGAGGTACTTGAGTAATTTATAAATAATAGTTTTTTATCAACGTACATAAGAGTAAGCCATATAACTGTACAGTTTATACAATAGAACAAGTATTTAATTACCTAAAAGTATAAAATAGTTAATTATGTAAAGGACTATGTTTTTAGCGCGGAATTGTGTATACTCTTATATATTCTTATACAGGGTGTCCCATTTTAAAGGAACCACCCCGAAATTTTCTACGGTTGGGGTTCTACAAAAAATTTGATCAGACAAAAGTTGTTTGGGACAATGAGGGACGGTCAACCCCCTTTCTTATCCCACTGGGGTAAGTGTGAAGTTAATAATAATAATAGTAATAATAATAATAATAATAATAATTGGCGACAGCTCACTCGATCCTTCTATACGGCGCGAAAATATGGGCAGAGTCCCTGAAGACAAAGAAATACTGTAAGTCGATGATGATGGTACAGAAACAGGGCGCACTGCGAATCGCTTGCTCCTACCGGACAGTCTCTGCGCAGGCTGTTTTGGTGGTGGCTGACGTAATACCCGTGGATCTTCTGGCCTTTGAACGCAAAAGGATCTACGGGAGCAGCGCGGACATAGGACGAAAGAATGCGACAATCGCTGAGCGCGACAGGACAATTGACATTTGGTAAGGCCGATTGACAGAGGAACGAGGTGGTAACTGGACGAGATGATTGATACGGGACTTGAGGCTGTGGCTCGGAAGGAAATTTGGTGATGTAAATTTCTACGTCACCCAGCTCTTGACGGGCCACGGGTACTTCCGACGGTACCTTTACAATATGAACAGACTACGAACACCCGACTGTAAGTACTGTGGACACAAACGAGACGACGCGGAACACACGTTTTTCGCGTGTGACCGCTGGACAAGACTCAGACAGGAACTGGAAGAAACGGTCGGCAGCATCACCCCCGATAACATCGTGGCTCTGATGTTGCGTGAACCCGAATGGTGGCGCTTAGTCGCTATCTATACGGAAACTATACTGAGACGTAAGAACGCGGACGGCTGCTTGACAGATGACTGAGCAGACGAAGTGACGTGACGTAACGAGATACGGAGGAACGACACGAACGGACGAACACAGACAGAACCTCCAGTCAGAACTAATATTAATATAGGCCCTAGCTGGGGGGAAGGACACCAAGGAGATAGCGGTTTAGTAGCTAGGCCTATTTTTTTTCGGGGAGTCCCACATAACCCCTCAGTCAGAAAGACTAAGGGGAATCCGCAAAAAGGATTCCGCAACTCTTTGTAAAAAAAACAATAATAATAATAATAATAATAATAATAATAATGATAATAATAACCCAATACCCAAGATAAATAAAAGTTCTATTATCAAGGTCATTTTTTATTTAATCATTACGTGTGTTCGTGCCACAATCTAATCAATGTATGCAATCTAACCAATGTATGCAAAGAGGGAGAATCCAGTCTATCTAGGCAAGGTGAGAATGCTGAGTCGATCAAGATAAGACGTTGGCTACCCAGCCAATGAAGGCAAGGTATTAATTACCCAGCCAATTAAGGCAAGGTGGAAATGCCAAGCCAATGAAGACAAGACGATGACTACAGATAAAGTTATGATGAAGGTTGTAACACAAACATTTATCTCATAAAATGTTCAAAAATGCCGCCGTTCAAATTTATACAGTGTTGAATTCTACGTTCGAAGTTTTCAACTGTGGACAACAAAACGTTACGCGGGATAGCTCTACAAGCTTGTATGATGCGTTGCATCATATCTTGCCGTGTTGTTGGTTGCTGTGCATAAACAACACTTTTCGAATAGCCCCATAAAATGAAATCTGGACTTGTTAGATCTGGTGATCTTGGACACCACTCAGTAATGTCACTACCAATGCTTATTCGTCGTTTTCGATATCGTTGGTTCAAGAAGTGACGAACTATTAGAGAGCATTACAATTATTGATAATACGGTGCACCGTCCTGTTGAAGCCATAATTGTCGTCTTCTTTCCAAGTCCACATCTTCCAATAATTCTGGTAATTCATTTGGCAGGAAATTAAAATATGCTGCGCCATTGACATTCCCATCGAAAAAATAAGGTCCTATCAGATAACCATTTATTATACCGCACCAAACTACGAGGCTCCATCTATGCTGATTATTAACATGACGTACCCAATGAGGGTTTTGGATAGACCAATAATGACTATTATGGCGATTGAGTTTCCCATTACTATGAAATGTAGCTTCGTCCGAAAACATTACGTATCTGAAAAATTCAGGATCTTCACGAATCCTTGCTTGTGCCCAATTGTAGAATTCGAGTCTGCAGCGGAGATCATCTGGCATCAAAGCTTGAGTCAAAGTTATGTGATACGGATGAAATCTATGAAGCCGCAAAATTTTACCGGTTGTTGTTCCTGGGATTCCAGTACATCTCTGAATTTCACGCAAATGAAATTTGATATGATGATCCAAATAAACCATTGCCAAAACAACGAGAATTCGTGGATCATCGTTGTTCTGTTTCATAATACGACGACGTTTTCGGCGTATTCGTGGTCGACGTCTCTCTCTTCGTTCAATGATTCGGATTCTTAAGTGGATTGGTCACCGAAGTCTCCCTGCGCAATGTTGACGGTCAAAGCTGATATCGTGCTGCAGCAAGATATTACCGTCTAGTTATTGGGTTGGGGGAGCAAGATATCATCAGCAAGTTATTGGGTTATTACAATTAAACTTACCCTTGCCCGATCATCCCTGTGCATAGATGAAGAAAATAATAAATTTGACCTCTACATGACCTTAGGGGGGGCGGTTAACCGCACCCCACACATAATACCTTATCTGAACGTAGAATTTCTTGCTCTTTCCGAATCCGGGATCAAAATTATAGGTTTCTATTCAAAAAATGACTTAGACCTTCAAATGGCCTTGAAAATAAATCTCAAGGTCAAATCTGATTTCTGTGAAAGGTGTCCCTCATTGTCCCAAACAACTTTTCTCTGAACAATTTTTTTGTAGAACGCCAACCGTAGAAAATTTCGAGGTGGTACTTTTAAAATGGGACACCCTGTATATTCTTGCATTTTCGAATCAAAATTTACGTTCCATGCGTACGGGTACGCTCAGTTGAAATACGTTTGGAAGATGACTCATATACGAGTATAATGTTTCCCCTCTCCAACCTCCTCTAGCGTAATAGACATTATTACAGAGAAGAAGGTCCTCACGCGTATGAGACCCTCTTACCATTGAGCGTCCTCTGTATGGAAAAACCCGAATACGGCCATCCACAGTAGAAAAAACTAAAATCTAATAAATAGTAATTCTCTCATCTCAAATAAGTTACCATATAAGAATTACTTGGAAAAGTAACCTAATCTATCCTGATTAATCTATATTTATTACTGCAAAATATCTCTACGTAAAACCAACAAAGCTTTGTAGGTAAAAATAGAATCGGGTTACTATTTAGTAGGGTTGTAATAATTTTCTCAAGAGTAACCGACAATTAATAGGCTCATTCTCTTACGTCAATGAAAAATTATTATATATAAATTATAACGATAAATCAAATAGTTAAAACCGGAGTCATCCGTAAAATTATTGATGAGGTGGATATGATAGGCGTGAACGTTTCCACTAAATAATAAACTGGACGTGTATATTAATCGCGCGTGAAACTAAAGTTGAAATAAGGATCAGCGGCAGATAAAATTGAGTGACAGACGCTTAATTTTAACATACTTTATTAGTAAATGAAACATCTGTATATCTTAGTCTGCCCGGTCACGTCACTCTTGCGAGAATATCAACTTAAGAAAATGGTGAAGTACAGTGTAAAATGACCACAAAATGTGTTACTAGCAATCTGCTCAATAACCTCCCTTTTTGAACTTGACGAATGCAGCTGACCGTAATGCCTGACACGAGGGCTAAAAAACTGCTTGACCGCATACGCGTGAATATAATGCCCGAACATATAAGAAACAAGAGAGAGAGAGAGAGAGAGAGAGAGAGAGAGAGAGAGAGAGAGAGAGCGTGAAAGAGAGAAATATAGCATCGGCTGTCTGCGCCTTGGCAATCGTTTTTAGCTGTTGTCTCATCTGCTAGCGTTTGCCAATGATACTGCTG